AAAGTAGTTTCTAACAAAAGAATATACGCTTCAAAACTAGTTTATATGGAAGACTTGGACGAAAGTTGTTCATAAAAATTAATGAAGAAAACGTGAAAAAATTATTAAGGTTTGTAGGAGAGTGATTTTTTTTTTTTTTCAAAAAATTAATTTTTTAACAATTATTTTACTATTTCAGTCGTCATGTTGGATTTCTTCTCTTATAGGTGGGTTTTACTTTTCTTCTTACGGTCAACAAATTAATTCTCAAAATTACTTCCAAACAGGCTCTTAAAATGCTTAATATGTTTGTCTAAAAGAATTGATGAACGAAATAGCATTATTTCATGAATTATTCCGTTAAAAAGTAATACGCGTATTCTTTGATTCCTAGACAAAGTGGAAGTTATGGTGAACTAAACAACATTTCAACAATTTCATGCGTCAAGTCTAACATGACATTAACAAACAAGTCAGCACATTTTCGCATCAAGTTAGCAAATCATTAGATGGAACGAATAATGTTTAAAAAAAATAAAAAAAAAAATAAGTGAACATAAAATTTGGTAGCTAAATTAGAACAAGAAAAAGTTGGGTGATAAAGTGAGAACCTAGCAAATTTGGCGTGGCCTCATTTTTTTAACAGCTCAAAAAAAAAAAAAAAAAAAAAATGAAACTGAAACACAGCTCAAAAAAAATAAAATAAAATAAAATAAAGTAACGGCCACTTCCTGAAATTTTGTTTTTTCTTTTACAAAAAGCCAGAAAAACTAGCTTTATTCATGCTAATAATGTTGTTACTTCTGCATGGTTTGTGACTGATTACCTGCGGCTATTCTCCACTAAGTTTCCATATAAACTGAAGCTGTAAAACCCATTATCTTCTCTCTATTTTCAATCATGACAAAAGATCAGATATACATATTAACTTTCCGTAGGTTATTTTCTTTCTTTTTTGCTGTTTTTATTGCTTGCATTGCAGACGAATTCGATCAACATCAACGAGGTATATATTTGGTTTTACTGGAAGGTGATCCGGTTGCATTTCATCAAGATGCACTACTTGCAAATGAAGGAAAAAGGCCTCGTCCCAAAAGGTGATTCAGAAAAGTAAATGATTTTTTATTTTATTTTCTCCAATTCGATCTGAAAATGTGAAACGAATTTTCCTTTTTATCGTGTAATTAGCAGTCTCTTTTTTTATTCTTAGCTTAAACTTTTATGCGACATGATAGAGAATACGATCAGGCGATGAGGAGATGTGTTGAAGATTAACTTGAAATAAATATATGTGTTGTTATTTTTAATTGTTTAAGCAGTTAGATAAAATGGTGCATCTTCATAAATGTTATCTTGTTCACTGTTAGTGAAACTTCAAAGGCTCGTGCAAAATACTTGGTGAATTCCCACGATCAACTTCTGGAAAGCACTCTACAGACAGGCAGCTATAACAAGCTTTACAGCTTTAAACATATTGTTAATGGATTTGCTGTCCACATTTCCCATTCTCAGGTTCATCCCTGAATCATAAATAATCCCAATTATTATTAAATGCTCTCATAATTTTTAGTCTATTCTAAGTTAAACAGTGAAAGTGGATAAATCTTTAGGTCGGAAAATTAAAGAATGCTCCTGGGGTGAAGCTGGTAGAAAAAGACAGTAGAGTCAAATTGATGACAAGTCATACCCCAGAATTCTTAGGGTTACCAGACGTTTGGACACAGATAGGAGGAGATAGAAATGCAGGTGAAGGAATTGTGATTGGTTTTGTGGATTCAGGCATAAACCCTATGCACCCCAGTTTTGCTTATGATCCTACTAATCCTTTCACATCAAATATCTCTCATTTTTCTGGAACCTGTGAGAGGGGGCCTCTATTTCCTGATACTGCCTGCAATGGTAAAATAGTTTCTGCTAGGTTCTTCGCAGCCGGGGCTCAAGCTGCTGCCACCCTTAATGCTTCTGTAGACATCCTATCGGCCTTCGACGCAGTTGGACATGGCAGGTAAAACTGATCTTGTGTAGCGTTGTCTAGTATTTTGTACCAAACATGCTCTTAGTGTCTTTGATCATGCTTTCAAGTGGACATGGCAGGTAAAACTGATCTTGTGTAGCGTTGTCTAATATTTTGTACCAAACATACTCTTAGTGTCTTTGATCATGCTTTCAAGCCGAGGGGTAAAAAGTGTTCCAATTCTCATTGAAAATTTTTCATTTTGCAGTCATGTGGCTTCTACTGCTGCTGGAAATTATGGAGTTCCTGTTGTGGTGGATGGCTTCTTCTATGGTCGAGCCAGTGGAATGGCACCACGTGCACGGTCTAACACTTCTAACATTATTTATCATCTAAATGGAAGAATCCTAACATTGTTACCGAGAGTTATTTAGTCATTTACTTTTCTTCACAACAGGATTGCAGTTTATAAAGCTATTTATCCTACCATTGGAACTCTAACAGATGTGTTAGCAGCAATTGATCAAGTAATCATCTTTTCTCATCATTAGAGTTTAATGTTTGCATCTTTATCTAGACTCTATACTATTAAAACACAAAGATGAAATCCAAATTTTGATTTGGGGTTTCTTCATCAATCTCCTGCGCGCAGGCGGTATTAGATGGAGTGGATATTCTAACACTTGCCATAGGACCCGATTCACCACCAGAAGATACCCTAACGTTCTTAGGCATGTTTGAGATTTTCATGTTGGCTGCTCACAAGGCTGGGGTTTTTGTGGTTCAGGCTGTTGGTAACCAGGGTCCCGGTCCTTACACCGTCGCATCTTACAGTCCTTGGGCTGTTGGTGTTGCAGCTTGCGGGACAGACAGAAGTTACCCCGGTACTCTTGTGCTCGGTGACGGTCAAAGAGTTGGCGGTGTTGGATTATCTGGTAACATTTAGTTCCAGTCCTATAGACGACTGTTAATTTGTGTACTATTAGTCCCAAACTAAGAGTCCTTTTTGTCATCCCGTTAGATCAGATCGTCCGCATCGTAACTTTGTACGGTTCAAGAGTGTAGACACTAAGACCACGAGTGTTGGCCCGGTTGAACTACCAGATATTTGATTATGATGTTCACTTATCCCTTCAACATAAATAGGAAGACTACCATTGTTGTACTGGGAGACGAATTTTTTAAGTGTGTTTTGAGTTCACGAGTATAAAAGATTTTTTAAGAAGGCATAGGAAATTTTTGGAAATTTAGTCCCCAAGAACGTGAAAAAAAAAAAAAAAAAATTCTTTAACTTGGGATAATGATTTTTTTAAATTTCTATAT